TTAAGCACACGCGCGCGCGCACACACACACACACACAGAGAAAACCCCTAAGTTGTTTATCGTATTTTCATGTGTACAAACTCTTACTGTAACTTTCTTAAGAAAGATTTGTCACCATCAGGGGCCTAAGACTCTTAGAGCAAGAAGGGAAGCAGCATGGCCAATGAGTTTCATGCTTCCTATGACTGTTCAGGCTTGGTGAAGTAATTTAACCCATTGCTTTACTTTCCTTATTCTTAATATGGAGATATAAAATGCAAATATATTCCATGACTCCTGGACAGAGCTTTTATCAAGATCACATGTGACTGGATATGAAAATTGATGCAAAAAAGCCTTTAGAATCTGATGTCACAGGTACTAGATAACGGGCTCCTAGACTCTCTGTCCTCAGGGCTATCAAGTGTGTGCCGAATGATTAAAAAGTGTCCGACAAGTGGCTGGACTGGGCAACCTAATTTAAGGGCTCTTCCAACTCTGATATTCTGTGATTATTATTTTTTTTCTGTGATTATTTTGATTTTATATTTGTAACTACAGATGGAATAGGGTCACATACAAGGACAGTAGCTTAGCGAATGTGTATTGCTTTTAATGGAATTTCTTCTCGGGGTTTCACTCTGTGGCATAGTTCCTCTACTAACAAGAGGGCTTTATTTCATTAGCATTTCTGTTGTGAGAAACTTAATTTCTAAAGGAAATACAATAGAGAAGTCATCGAGGTACCTTTTAAGGCATCATAGCAGGGAGATTACGGTATAAGAAAAACTGAATTCCCAATACACTTATGTCAAGTGTTCTAAAATACATTATATCGTACCTTTTGTGTTTTTCTCCTTATATCCTGAAATCTGATGTTATCCCTTCTTTGAGGCTCTTTATTTTGGAAAGAATGAAAAAAATGGAAGAATTCTTTCATAAGGCATAAAATACCCTTTCCACTTAGCTGTTAGTCTCCTTCCCAAATCCCAGCGTTTTGTTTCCCTGACTGGGCCACAATCATGGTCATTTATCTCTTTATTTTCTTATCTCTGATTGGCGTTGCTCTCACTCCCTCTTTTCCACCTGGTAAATTACTACCCGTTTGCTCAAGGCTTCAGCTCACCTATTTTGTAATTTTACCTTAGTGCAGTCAGAATTCTTTCTTTTATAAACATTCCAGTTAAGATGTTTAGAAGTAAATAAGCTACCACAAGGCAACGCACTGTAAGGATGCTGCTTGACACCTTTTGACCACTCTGAGTTATAAAGATGTTATCTTTTTAAGGGTCACATAGGGTCCACTAAGAAGTCTGCATTGGACAGGATCTATGAAAACAGCAAGAGGATTTGTTGAGAAAGTTTGATGCTTCATTCTGAAATCTAGAATATCGTATCTACTTCATTCTCTGGTGCAATGTGTGTAGTGGTGATTCCTATGAGCTGTGGAATCAGACCAGAGTTCACATGTTTTCACCATTTGCTACACTTGTGACTTTGGGTGAGCTCTTTAATACCCAGAAACCTACCCCAAATGTAAACTTGGCGTGGGCAGAGCTACAGGGTAGTAGTACAAGTATTACATTCCTTCAATTAATATTTTGGAATAGTGCCAGACACTGTTCAATGACCAGGGGATATAGTGGTGAACAAGACAGGTTCCTCAACTGTGTCCTCCCAACTTTCCGTAGAGGAGGTCTATTTGTGTTGGATGGGTGGGTATGGTAATTAGAAACAAATGAGAAACAGGATAATTTTTAGTTTTTTAAAGATTTTATTTATTCATGAGAGCCACAGAGAGAGAGAGGCAGAGACCCAGGCAGAGGGAGAAGCAGGCTCCCTGCGGGGAGCCCGATGCGGGACTCAATCCCAGGACCCAGGATCATGACCTGAGCTGAAGGCAGATGCTCAACGACTGAGCCACCCAGGTGCCCCTAGGATCATTTTTAAAAGTAGAAAGCATTGTTGACTACAACAAAAATAGTTGCCCTTTAATTAGATAAGATCACAACTGGATCTTTTGCTCCCTCCTATCAGTTTTGTAAAATTCCATCAGTCTGTTTTCTTTGTCTTCTCTGCAGTGCACAGGGACCCCGCAGGCTGTACAGTTCTCTTGTGTGGGAGAATTCGTTCTTGATTGGGCCACAGCACGTCTTGTGAAACAGCATTAGATGTTTGCCACTGCCCAGTGGCTCTGGGGGGAAGTGTGCATTGCCAAGCCTGTGGTGGTACTTGGAGCCACGGGGTGCAGCCTCCTCCTGGGGCAGGCCTGTGGGTATTTCACTGACGTGGGGCAGGCCCCTCTCTGTATGTTTATCAGCACCTGACAGGATGAACGAGTAGAGCCAGAGCTAACAGATAACGGCCCGGTTAAATTTGCTTTGTGATTTTTTTTTTTTTAATTATTTTCTTGGAGTAGCTTTAGGTTCACAGAAGATCGAAGAGGAAGTCCTAGAGATTTCCTGTATACTCCCTGCCCCCACACATGAATTGCCTCCCCATTGTCAACATCCCTACCCAGCCTGTTACGTGAGTTATGACTGATAAACCTGTATTGACACATCATCACCAAAAGTCCGTAGTTTGCCACAGGATTCCCTTTTGGTGGCATTCTCTGGGTTTGGATAGATGTATAGTGTGACCTGCATCCATGTTTACAGTGTCATAGGGACTATATTTTCTCTGCCCTAAGAAAATCCCCAGGGCGCTGCCCATTCATTCCGCCACCCTCTCCCCTAAACCCCTGGCAACCACTGAGCTTTTTAATGTGTTCCTAATTTTGCCTTTTCCAGAATGTCCTGTAGCTGGAGTCCTATAGCATGCGGCCTTTCCAGATTAGCTTCTTGCACTTAGTAATATGTAATGGGCCTTCAGGGTCCCCCTGTCTTCATGCCTTGATGCTTTATTTCTTTTTAGCCTTGAGTCAACTCCGCGTCTGAACGTGCCCGGTTTACTCGTGCCTTCACCCCCTGAAAGCCCGTTGGTGGCTCCCGGGTTCTGGCGGTCGCGGATAGAGCTGCTCCGCGGCGTGTGTGTGCCCGGTGCGGGGGTCGGGGTGGGGGGGATGTCCCAGCAGCGACCCAGGACAGGGCCCGGGACCCATAGGAACCCGACAGTCGGCCGCGAGGGCAGTGTGCCTGTCCAGGGAAGCAGTTACCCCCAAGGTGGAATGTTCACCGTGAAACCCCGCTTAGGTGTCGGGGGGAGCAGGCGAGGTCAGGGGGAGACGTGAAGGGAAGCGGGGGGCTCTGGGCGCGGGGGGGGGGGGGCCGGGGGAGGTCGGAGCCCTTCACCCGAGCGGGGCTCTGCGAGGAGGCCGGGAGGAGCGAGCGCCCGCATGCATGCATGCATGCATGCATTTATTTATTTATTTATTTATTTATTTATTTATTTATTTATTTATTTTTAAGATCTTATTTATTCACGAGAGAGAGAGAGAGAGAGAGAGAGAGAGATCCAGATCCACGGGGAACCTTTTATTTCAGGGGAACACTGATGTAGCTTTTCCTCCCCGGGTGACAGTAACATCTTTAGCCAGTTCTGTCTGTCACATGTCCCCAGCTTCCCTAGTAGAAAATTTATTTATGTAAATTAAGAATCCATCAATTACAAAAATAGAAATGGCACTTACATAGTGATAAGAAAGAAAAGATAGAGTTTTTTATTTTGATAATAGATTTTATGAATGATTTTTTTATGAATGATTTTTTTATATGACCTTTTACTGTGAAGGGTGAGAGACTGAATATAAAAGTGGACAATGATTTGCTCATATTTAAAATTTAATTTTGACCCACAACTTAGACCAACCTGCTCAGGACACGAACCTCTTTTCTATGGTAAACAACCCAGGGAACCAACCTGCTGTAAGTCAGACTTACAGGACAGCAGATTGCTATCTCTAGAGACAATCCAGGTAGCAAAATAATAACTTCTATAACAATCAGCCCCAAATAGTCAGAGGTTGATCGCTATCTGACAGCTTCCTGAAGTTTTGTCCCTACTTCCAATCTAGGACCAAGTAGAGAAAGTGAAGTATGTACCCCTAACCATCACACAGGGTGCACAACCTCTAATTAGCCTGCCTGCAGCTTCCCCAGGCCAAGAGCCACCAATCAGGACACACCTGAAGCCCCCTCCCCCCCCAATAAAGCTTGCCTAGTCCTCTGCCTGCCTTTGGGTTCAGCCAAAACTGACCGTGGCTGACTCCCTTGCTATAGTAAGCTCAGAACAAATAGCCTTTGCTTTTCTCATTTGACTGGTTTTCACTTATTTCTATAGAGGAATACAAAAGAAAATTCAAAAGGGAACCCCTAGTCTTGCCCCATTATTGTAAGTTGGAGTCCTGATTTGCCATAAGAAAGGGCAAAGTAATATGGGTAAAAATAAATCAAGCTGTTCAAAGATAGGGTCAGGGATGTCCTTTAGCTTGTAATTTCCAAAATGATAGTCATTTTCTGGTATTTCCATTGACCAAAATATAAACTTCTTAGATGGAACTTTAGTATGTAAGTGGGGCCCCAGAATCCTATGCCATTTGCTCTTGGATTATGCACATCTCGGTATATGTTGAGTAATCAGGATGTAATTTCCAGATGAATGTGATCCTCAACTAATCTGTAAAAGTAAATAAGCAGTAATTATTTTTCAGTGACAATATAAATGTATTTGCTTTTATTTATGTTTTTTTGGGGGAGAGCGTGTGTGGGGAGGAGTTGGGAGGGGCAGAGGGAGAGGCAGAGAGAGAATCTTGAACAGGCTCTCCTGCCCCCTGATGTGAGGTTTGATCTTATGGCCCTGTGATGAGCCAAAATCAAGAGTCCCTGGCTTAACTGACTGTGCCACCCAGGCACCACAGGAAAAATACTGTTTTGGACATCTAAATCGCATGCTAGGTCAAGTATCTTGGAGTTTATAAAATGCTTGTCTTAGATGAAAGCAGCCAGTCTGCTCAAAGTATATGTATATCCAAATAATTTAGTAATTTAGCCTATTAAAAAAATCTTTTTTCTTTTTTATAGAAAATCTTTACTACTGGTGATACCAACAAAGATGGAAAGCTGGATTTTGAAGAATTTATGAAGTACCTTAAAGACCATGAGAAAAAAATGAAATTGGCATTTAAGAGTTTGGACAAAAATAATGATGGTGTGTCTTCATTTTGTATTCCTCACCAGCTATGAAGAAGCACTTCTCATATATACAAGAGTATAAAACATTGTGCATTTAGTCTCTTCTTTTAGGAAATAATTACTAGTAGTTTTAGTACTTGTCTTTCATAGTAATGTGATTTTTCTATAGAATTTATGTTTTTAGTGGGGAAAGGCATAGCTTTGTCTATCAAATTAAAAACTGTATATGTTCACTATAAATATTATGCTGATTTGACTATAGTTTAAAAATTTGATTATAGGTTAAAAATAATAATTATGTTCTCTGGGCAGGAGATATTTGGTTTTGTTCATATATAGACATAATGTTACATATTGTAAAATTTAGAAGACCTTTCAGGTTATCTTACATTTAATAATCTTTTTGAAAGAATGAGTTTAAAGCAACTCTGATCATGAAAACTGGGAGAAAAAAATATTTAAATATGTAACTTTTTTTTTTAAATTAAGTAAACTCTACCCCCAATGTGGGGCTCAAACTTACTACTACTCTTCTGAGATCAAGAGTCCAGAGTAGCCCCTAAAGGTGTATCTTCTGGTTGGGGTTTTGGTTTCACTATTTAGATTACTAGTTTAAAGTTAGAATTCCAGTGTATAGAGCAAAAAGCAAGTGCCACAGTAGGAGAAAGGAAGGAGCCATGAAACCCTTATCACCAGAGGTAGCCTTTGACAGGAAGTGGTAATTTATTTTTAAAAATTATAATGTAGGGCAGCCCGGGTGGCTCAGTGGTTTAGCGCTGCCTTCAGCCCAGGGTGTGATCCTGGAGTCCCGGAATCGAGTCCCACATGGGGCTCTCTGCATGGAGCCTGCTTCTCCCTCTGCCTGTGTCTCTGCCTCTCTCTCTCTCTCTCTCTCTCTCTCATGAATAAATAAATAAAATCTTTTAAAAAATTATAATGCATAAAAACTTAATAAAAAGATAAAGCCTAAAATACATCCTCAAACCCCTCCCTGTATGTGAATAGTCAGGGTCATTCCATTCACAAACTTGTTATTCAAGAAACAAGTTAAACAAATAGATTGAGGAAAAAATATGACTCATACCTGAGTTGGACAAGTTTTTCTTGTCAAAGGCCAGATATTTTAGCTTTGTGGGCCATGTGGTCTCAGTTGCAGCTGCTTATCTCTGCTTTCATACTGCGAACAGCCATAAACAATGTGTATATGAATAAACATGGCTGTGTTCCTTTAAAACTTTATTTACAAAAGCAGGCAATACACCTTATTTGGCCCCTTGTTTATATTGAATATTAACTTTAGGTATCAAGCAAATTTCTTCTAACAACTAAACCCTTTGAATGGTTTTGATGGTGGCTCAAGTCTGTGACACTCATCTAGGAGGCTGCGTTTGTAGTGGAAGGTAGTGCTATTTGAACATTTGTTACCTCCTCTAAATCTTACATGATATGCCCCCAAGTCTAGCTTTGGTCCAATCTTCCAGCAAAATGCAGTTTTTTGTAAAGATTTTATTATTTGAGAGAGAAAGTGCATGAGAATGAACAGAGGGAAGGGCATAGGGTGAAGCAGACTCTCTGTTGAGCAGGGAGCCCAACTTGGGGATAGATCCCAGGACGCTGGGATCACAACCTGAGCTGAAGGCAGACGCTTAACCAACTGAGCCACCCAGGGCCCTGCAAAATGCAGTTCTTACAATCAGCCTTACTTCTCTGCAAACTTTTGTCCTATCTTGAGTCCACTAAGGCGCAACCACTTAGGTAGGACTGTCTTTATAGTGTGAAGGTAGGCAGTAGCTGGGGGATGGAGCTACCTTGGGGTCATATGTCAGATAAGCAGGGGTGAATCATCCCAGGATGTAAGCTGTGCCCATATCCGTTCTCTATTTCAGAAAATTCTACATGAACCAGAGGAAATAGTTAAAGGTGAAGTTTTATGATCAGCGAAAATAATTTTTACTTAATTTATCTTGTTTGTAGATTTTCAAGCAGTTACTTATTTCGAGTTCATATTTTTATTTATCAAACTTCTTATAGCATAAACAGTCTTTATTTGTCATTTGTGTATTTGAGAATTTGCCTACTTGCTAAAATTTAACCCCAAAAGTAACTCCAAAATCAGTGCTTGCAGCATTTTTCCATTCCTTCATGGACAACTTCATTTGCTTGGCGAGCACATTTCTAGCTGAGATAGAAGAATATGCTTTCTCATTTTAGTTCTCATACTAAGACAGGTGTCCTTCTCAGTCTATTTAGTGCCATGTTTCTTGCATTGTTGTGCTTTTTGTTGGCAATTTTGCTGTTTAAAATGGCTCCCAAGCATAGTGCTGAAATGCCATCTAGCATTCATTCCTAAATGCAAGAAGACTGTGTGTGCCTGAGGAAGAAAAATGTGTTTATCACATGTACTTCATTCAGGCATGAATTGTAGCATTTTTGACCATGAGTTCAAGGTTACCGAGTCAACAGTGTAATATGGGGTTCTATGGTACTTACACACACATATGACAAGGTTTTATACTGGTTGGTTGATAAATATGCTGTGACCAGAGGCTCAAGGGACGTAACCCTGTATTCCCCATAAGGGCCATGGTTTGATGATTCAGGGTTCCTAGTGACCTTGTAGAACATGACTAACGAGAATAACGAAGAATTGACTGTGTTTCTTTAAGAGTGCAGATTATAAGAGAGAATTTGCAGAGTGGCATTTAAGGAATTTCATTGCGAACAAATAGATCCCTCTGTTTTTACACTGTGCAGATTCTCCTGTTTCTCTTTTCCTCTCCCCAGGAAAATTCTTTCCAAATCCTGGAATTTCTTCAAAGTTCTTCTCTTAAATGAAGTCTTTCCTTTCACCTCTAACAGTAATTTTTGTCCTCTTATCCTGGAGAAGTTTGCCATTATTACTGTTTGGCATCAGAGCCTCTCATGCTTTGTTTGGTTTCCTCCTATTTCATGCATATTGGTCTTGGGATCATAAGTCTGTGAGCTGCTTGAGGGAAATGCGGCATTTATCACTCCCATTTATCACTTCTGTTTTCTTTTTCTTCCTCTCTTCTGAGTCCTCTCGTTCTGTCTGCAAAGATGCTCTAATTTCTCTAATAGTGATAATCTTCTCTCTTCCATCGTCCTACCATTCTTGCTTTCTTTATTTTTATTGCCAGATTTCTCAAAAGAATGAACCCTATTCTTTGGCTTCTTTTAGTCATTTTCTACATCCTTTGAACCCCTTGCAATGCACCTTCATGCATATGAAAATTGCCTAGTCATTTATTAAAATGCAGAAACACATACTTGTGAAATTAATAGATCCTGATGGAATTTGCTTTAAAGTCAGAGCGTCTTGATTTGAATCTCAGTCCTGGTGCTGCTTAATTTGTTACTTGGTGAGGCCACGTAAGCTCTCAGTCTCTTATTCTTTAGATGAAATACCATTATGTACCTATAAGACTTTAAGGTTTCTGAATGAACTAACGTCTGTGTACTTGTTTCATGTATTTGTTTTGAATTGGTGTTGCAGTATGTGTGTAAGCAAGTCTGTGACTCACCTAGACTCATGATTTTGCCTTAATGAGTCCAGGCTTTCCCTTACAAAATGAGAGATTTGAAATTCACGATTTCTAAGAACCTTATCAGTTCTGAGTCTGAGTTTATGCTCTTTTTAATTTTTTAAAGGAATAATTGAGGCTTCCGAGATTGTCCAGTCTCTCCAGATACTAGGTCTAACTATTTCTGAACAACAAGCAGAGTTGATTCTTCAAAGGTAAGCTCTTTATCTTATTATCTTGACATTAATTTTCATGTCTTGTATTAGAGATCTTCATTTTAAGTGTAGCTTAAAACTCTGTAGCTTACCATTACTCATTACCTATGTTCAGTATCTTTCTTTGTCTTCCTTTTTGTTTCCTACACACACATTTAAAGTGTAGGAGTAGGAAGTGGAAGCTCAGACTGGATTCTCTCCTGCAAGGCCTCTGGGGTGGTAGAATGGCAGTAAGGCATTAAATCGTACATAGAGAAGGAGCTAAGCATTTTAGTGCTATTCTTCCCATTTGGTTTCTAAGGTGATAATGAAACTCATTGTTCCAAGAGAAGCCATTCAGCAGATTCATCATATTACTTATCCTCCATGTCACTGGATACGAGGGAAATTCCAAAGGCTCACAAAGAAACACTGATTTAAACTCTCAGAAAACAGAGATGCCGATTTGAATATTATTGCCCAGGATAATTGGTTCAACTATTTAGTGAGTCAGACCTTTACAGACTTAATGTTTTATTTCACAGGATAGAGCAATAATCTCTGAAGTCTCAGTGCCCTTGAAAACTCTTCTCTTGCAAACACACCATAGGGACTAATTTATTATTTTTTTTTTATGATAACAGAAAGCAGAAAAGGGTGCTTATATTCCTGTGAATGCTTTCAGTCTTTGAAATTAACTAAACTTAAGTTTAGTTAAGTTTAAGAAACTAAAAAGTTTCTGCTAAGTGGCTTTGTTGTTGAATTTATTTCCTTTTATATCTGTACCAGTAGCGTTTTTCTCCTTTCTGACTGTTTAGAATTTCTTTTAAAACCCCCTGGTACAGGAGGACCCATGTCTCAGAGCTGGGCGTGATGTTGCTGTTGTTAACAGGATGAGGGAGGCTTTCCTGAGGAAATGAGAAACTAAAAATGAAAAGGGGTAAACTGGATTTTGGCAGTGAGATATGAGACATGTAATATTCTCTTGCTGAAGTCACATTCCTCTGGGGAAGTGAAGGTTTTTCTCTGCTTCTTAGGCCAGACATCATATTCCACTACTCCTTTTGATGATAGTTTTAGAAATAATGCAGATTAGAAGCCCAAGTTCTAGAATAGACAATGGGTAATACAAAAGGATGGATATTTAAAAGTGGCTAAATAAAATTATGGAAGCAAATGTCCATCGACAGATAAATGGATAAAGAAGATTGTGGTGTCTATATATATACACATACCACATGTATATATACACACACAATAGAATATTACTGAGCCATAAAAAGAACAAAATCTTGCCATTTGCAACAGCATAGATGGAGCTAGAGAGTATAATCCTAAGTGAAAAAAGTCAGAGAGAGACAAATATCTTATGATTTCACTCAAGTGCAATTTAAGAAACAAAACAAATGAATAAAGGGAAAAAAAAGATAAACCAAGAAATAGACTCTTAACTATAGAGAACAAACTGATAGGAGGGTCGGGGATGGGTGAAATAAGTGATGGGATTAAAGAGTACACTGTTGTGATGAGCACCAGGTATAAAATTGTTGAATCACTATAATTCATGTGATTCATGAACATGAACTTCATGTTCACTTTACTAGAATTAAAAATAAATAAAAGTGGCTAAATAATTGCATATGTAAATATTTTAGGGCAGCTTATTGATATATGGTTCACATACCATTAAATTTGCTCTTTTAAAAAGTGTATAGTTCAGTGGCTTTTTAATACGTTCACTGAGTTGTGTAACTATCACCACTACCTAATTCTGGAGCATTTTCATCACCACAAAAAGTAACCCCATACCTATTAGCAGTCACTCCTTATTCCTCCTCTGCAAGCCCCCAGCAATCACCGATCTGCTTTTTGTCTCTTTGGATTTGTCTTTTCTGGACATTTCACCAAAAAATGGAATCATACAATACGTGGCCCTTTGTGTCTGGCTTTTTCACTTAGCATGGTGTCTTCATAGTTCATCCATGTTGTAGTGTGTATCAGCCCTTCATTCCTTTCATAGACCAAGTCACATTCCATTATAAGTATTTATCATACTTTGTTTATCCATTCATCAGTAGATAGGCATTTGGGTTGTTTCCATTTTTTTAAAAGATTTTATTTATTCATGAGAGACAGAGAGAGGTAGAGACCTGGTAGAGGGAGAAGCAGGCTTCATGCAGGGAGCCTGATGCGGGACTCAGTCCCAGGACCCCGAGATCACAACCTGAGCCACAGGCACATGCTCAACCACTGAGCCACCCAGGTGCCCCTGGGTTGTTTCCATTTTTTGGCTGTTATGAATAATGCCTGTACAAGTTTTTGTGTGAAGATATGCTTTCAGTTCTCTTGGGTATTACACCTAGAGGTGGAAAGACTAGGTTATATGGTAACTCTGTTTACATTTGAAAAATCGCTAGCCTGTTTTTAAAAGTGACTGCATCATTTTATAATACCAACAACCATGTATGAGAGTTTTAGTTTCTCCACACCATCCCAACACTTGTTCTTTGCTGTCTTTTGGATTTTACCATCTTAGCGGGTATTTTTAAAAATATTTTACTTATTTATTCATGAGATACAGAGAGAGAGAGGCAGAGACACAGGCAGAGGGAGAAGTAGGCTCCATGCAGGGAGCCCTATGTGGGAATCAATCCCGGGACTCCAGGATCACGCCTTGGGCCAAAGGCAGGCGCTAAACCGCTGAGCCACCCAGGGATCCCCATCTTAGCGGGTATTATGTGATATCTTGTTAATTGATTTGTATTTCCCTGATGGCTAATAAATCATATATTCTTTTGCACTGTTGTGCTATTATTATTATTATTATTATTATTATTATTATTATTATTATTACTAGCATTTGTACTTCTTCAGTAAAAATACCAGAATGTGTTTATACTGGGAAAACCTCCATTTTTCCTTTGTGTCTTCTTTACTCTTCACGTTGAACACTTTGCTTCTGACACCTCTGGTCACCAAAAGTGTAGGTTCCCCACGCCCACTCCCACCTCACAACAGGCAGTTATCTGTGACATTAGCCTGAGTATCCTACAATTTAACTTAATTCTAACACTGTCTACCTGGAGAAAGTGTCAGATCCCATAGGTTTAGGGCTCATCCCACAAGACTCCTCCCCAGTTCTGATGCCAATCACAAGTAGTGGGTCCCCATATTACCCACAATTTCTGTCCAACTTGGTTATAAGTTGGAGATTCCCGTGACCCTCTTCCTCATTTGATTAATTTGCTCGAGCAGCTTACAGAACCCAGGGAAATATTTACTTACGTTTTCTAGTTTTTTAGAGGATGTGATGAAGGATACAGGTAAACAGCCAGATGAAGAGATGCATAAGGTGAGGTCCGGGAGGGTCCCAAGTGTAGGAGCTTCTGTTCCTGTGGAGTTGGGGTGTGTGTTACCCTCCTGGTAGGGATGTGTTCACCAACCTGAAAGTTCTCTGAACCCCAGACTTTGGATTTAATGGAGGCATACAGACATGTTCAATTATTAATTCTATTGCAAGCCTTTCTCCCTTCTCTGGAGAATTTGGAGTAGGGGACTGAAAATTCTAAGCTTCTGATCGTGGTTTGGTATATCTGCTGACCAGCCTGCGTCCAGGAGCCCACCAACAGCCACCTCATTAGAACAAAAAAGCTCTCAGTGCTCTTATCATGTAGGAGTTTTTCCAAAAAATATTTTATTTATTTATTTATTTATTTATTTATTTATTTATTTATTCATTCATTCATTCATTCATTCATTCATTCATTCATGAGAGACACAGAGAGAGGTAGAGACCAGGTAGAGGGAGAAGCAGGCTCCATGCGGGGAGCCCAATGCGGGACTTGATCCCAGGATGCTGGGATCATGACCTGAGCCAAAGGCAGAAGCTCAACCATTGAGCCACCTGGGTGCCCCTTATTAGTGAGGAATTTACAAGGGTTTTAGGAGCTCTGTGTCAGGGGTGGGCTAGAGACCAGATATTTGAACAAGAGAGGCTCCTAGGGCTCTTATCACTTGGGAAATTACAAAGGTTTTAGGAGCTCTGTGTCAGGAGCTGGGGACAGAGACTAATGTATATGTATGTAGGTTTTAAAAGGTAGCATGAAATTAGGGTTTCAGTAATGGGGGCCATGGACCCTCTGGAGTCCTCAGCTGTCGGTGTGGCTCATATACCTGCAAATATCAGCTTCTTGTCTGCCATGTCACTGTCTCTTAGTATCCCAAACCTGAAGTTCATGAGAGAGAAATGTGAAAGGTGCTACTTGCGACAGCTGTGGCTAGGTTGTCAGAGTATGCTGAAATGTAGACTTTTCAGTAGAAATCTGGGTGGAATGGCAGTCTCTTCCAAATATGTGTTCTTCATATATCTTCATCTTCTCCCAGGTAAAAATCCATTTTCCTATCAGGCTTTCATCCTCATCCCTCTTTCCTCTCTTTTTCTTATCTTGACATTTATTGAGGACTTTGGTACCTGCCAATCAGTCATTTTTGCCTCACCCCAAGTCCTAGGAAGCTTCAGTATTTGAGCTGGTGATTGATCTTTTGCCTAGCTAAGACTTGCATCTGCATTTTGCTTTGGCAAGCCACTCCCTCTTAGGATTACACCATCACTTGAAGCTTCCCCTCTTCTGAAGTCTCAAACACCTGTATCCTACCTTCTGATCCTTCTTCCAGATTTTGTGTTGTCTTGCTCCACTGTACTTGCTTTTTGACTTACCTCTGGCTCCTTCATTTACTCCAGTTCCTCAATTTCTTGACACATTTCCTTCTGTCACTTTCTCCCATCCCTGAAGCATCCTACCACTTGCCTTCTCTACCCCGACATTTAGGCTATTAAACATTTCTAGAGAAAAATGAAACTGTTCCGATTCATACCCCTAAAATCAACACAGCCTTTATTCTCTACCAGACGTTCAGGCTGAAGCTTTATGTGTCTGTGTTCCTGGTCACCTGTGTCTTCCATTTCCCCAGTGATTATTCCAAATGGTTACCACCTTATTCCTGCCTGCCACTCTCTTAGT